AAGATTTACAGTGGTTACTATGAACATGGTTGAATCTGAGAATTTTGAAACAAAGAGCCAATTGGATTCAGATAGATAGCTAGTTTTCAGGCAGAATATTGGATTCAGTGAATTTAATAATTGATGCACAAACCCAAATTTCCTTTTCAATGTTGACACGAGACGTATAGGGATATTTTTTGCTGGGCTTGGGAGCCTCTTAAATGCAAAACTAGAACAAGGGAAAAGTGTACAACGCTGTAATCTAGATGTTTCAGCCAGTGGTCTTTATTTTCCAGTTTCCAAACTGAGCGAATCACTTACAGACAAACATATAAAGATATAAAATAGGAGCAGAAATAGGCCATTCAGCCCCTACCTGCTCTGCCAGTCAATACGTTTATGACTGATTGATTGGTTTGTGTTTCGAATTTCACACTCCCATCTGCCCCAAAAACCCCTCAAGTCCCCTGGCCCAACTGGAATCTATCTGCCTCTGACTTAAAAATATTAGTATGCAGGAATGGCAGGTACAATGGGATGCTATCCTTTACTATGAGAGAAACTAAACATCAAAGTAAAGATGTTATGCTTCAATTACACAGGGCCTCCACCACCTTCTAAGGCAGAAACTTCCAATGTTGCATTGCCTCTAAGAGAAAAAGATAGTCCTAATCTCTGTCTGAAAGTGGCGAGCCCTTATTAAAACGGTGCCCCTGTTTCTGGACTTACCCACAAGAGAAAACATCCTTTTCATTTCCAGCTTGTCAAGATCATTCAGGATCTTGTACTCTTCAATCAAGTCACCCCTCACTCTTCTAAACTCCAGTGAAACAAGCCCAACCTGTCCAACATATCCTCATTCCAGGTATCAATCTAGCAAACCTCCTCTGAACTGCCTTCAATGCATCTACATCCCTCCTTAAATAAGGAGACCATAATTGCACACAATATTTAAGGCATGGTCTCACCAATGTGTAACTGAAACAATACAATTTTACTTCTATCTTTAATTCATCTCATAATAAAGGATAGCATCCAATTAGCCTTCTTGTACCTGCTGTACCTGCACACTACTACTACTTTGTGATTTGTGCACAAGAACATATAACTGTCAAAACCTTGGAATTCTACAGTCGTTCTTCATTTAAATAATACTGTTCTTTCATTCTTCCTGCCAAAGTGAATAACTTCACGTTTTCCTACATTACACTCCATCTGCTGAGTTTCTGTCCCCTCAGTCAACTTATTTACATCAGTCTGCAACTTATGGAACAGCAGCTAATTATAGAACCATGGATGCTTACAGCACAAAAGGAGGAACTTTGGTACATTGTATACATACAAATGCTTTGATGAATCACTCGCAACTGCAATCCGAAATACCATTGCCCTACTCTCTCCCTTTTCCCAGTATTATCCTCAGTTTTAAATATTAAACTTCCCTTAAAAATGCAATATTTTTCGTCTTTATGGTTTCCTATGGCAAAACAATTCACGCTTCATAATGAAATGTCTCCCAATCCCTTGTAAGACAGACAAAGGATTGTGAAGACCATCTGAGAACTGTCTGGTGCAAAATGGGATTCAATTAATAGTTACAGCATCATAGACGTTTACAGCACAGAAAAAGGCCCTTCATGCTACTGAGCCTGTGCCAGTCAAAAATAAGCGCTTAACTATTCTAGTTTCATTTCCCATAGCCTTGTATGTCTTGACATTGCAAGTGCACATCTAAATGCTTCTTAAATGTTATGAGGGTTTCTGCCTCAACCACCCTTGTAGACAGTGAGTTCCAGATTCCCAGCACCCATCTGAGTACAAAATATGTTTTCTCACAACTCCTCAAACCCTCCTGCCCCTTACCTTAAATCTATGCTTCCAGTCATTTATCCCTCCATCAAGAAGAAAAATACCTTCCTGTCTGTGACCCTCATAATTTTATACATCTCAATAACATTGCCCCTGTCAGTCTCATTTGCTCCAAAGAAAATAAGCACAGTCTACCCAAACTTGTTTCATGATAAAACTCTCTACTTAGGCTACATCTTGACAAATATCCTCTGCACCTTCTCCAGTCCCATTACATCCCTCCTATAATATGGATTCCAGAACTGCATACAACACTCTGCAATACTGTGGCCTAACAAATGTTTTATATAGTTCCAGCACAACCTCCCTGTTCTTACTTCTATGCCTAAGCTAATAAAAGCAAGAATCCCATATACTTTGTTAACCACTTTGACTCAGCGACCTACCTCAGAAGATAGTCCATCCCAATACTAACCTAAACACTGACCACAACACTAGCTCATCACGAACTAAAACCAAATCCCAACTAACAACACACTCAGAAGCAATCCCATCAGTTCTTAAATATAGTACATATTTAAATTATTTGTAGGATTTTTGCCTCTGGCTTCAAACACAATTTCAGGATTTGAGATTGAAATCTAAACTGCCACTTCATTGCAGTTCTGTGGGAATGTTGCACTGTCAAGGATGCTGTGGTTTTGGGTATTTTTTTTTGACAAGATTCCCATTTTGCCATGATACCATTTCACTAGGTGGGATGTTTCACTATATTAAGAGTCAACTGGTGGGAGGTGATGGCCTAGTGGTATTATCGCTGGACTGTTACCCAGGTAACATTCTGGGGATACGGGTTTGAATCCCGCCATGGCAGATGGTGGAATTTGAATTCACTAATTATCTGCAATTTAGAGTCTAATGATGACTATGAATCCATTGTTGGTTGTTGGGAAAAACCCATCTGGTTTACTAATGCCTTTTAGAGAAGGAAATTACCATCCTTACCTGGTCTGGCCGACATGTGACTCTAGACCCACAGCAATGTGGTTGACTCTGAACTGCCCTCTGGGCAATTAGGGATGGGCAATAAATGCTGTCTAGACAGCAATGCCCTCATTCCGTGAATGAATAAAGGAAAAAAAATGTGGAATTACTAATTTATGATAATTGAATTAGCAAACACATATTTGGATACAGTAAGAAAATAAATATTGTGGTAGTTGTGCTGTCCTATGTGAGTACAGCGTACTGTGAGCATATGATAGCAAGCTTTTACTACAATTCTAGAGAGAACTACATAATGTGGTTGTAATAAATTTGAAAATAATGACTTTTCCAATGTGATTTAGATCACCTTTAACTTGCAATGGCACAACACATGAACACACCTATCACCGTGCAACACATTTAGATTTATTTCATATTGTCACTTGTAAGTAGGTACAGTGAAAAGTGTGAGATAACAAGGTGTAGAGCTGGATGAACACAGCAGGCCAAGCAGCATCAGAGGAGCAGGAAGGCTGACGTTTCGGGCCTAGACCCTTCTTCAGACCCTTTCTTCTGCTCCTCTGATGCTGCTTGGCCTGCTGTGTTCATCCAGCTCTACACCTTGTTATCTCAGATTCTCCAGCATCTGCTGTTCCTACTATCTCTGAAACAGTGAAAAGTGTATAATGTTGCCACGTTCTGGCACCATCTTACACTAAAGAATAAATTACTGAATAAACAATACTGAGCTGAATAAATACTGAACAAATACTGAATAAATTAATATTAAATTGATGTTATTAAAACTGAAACAGCTTCAAAAGTTCATCTTTCCCTCTCCTTAGTGGTCACCCTCTCTGCTCCTCCCATTGTCACCATTCAACATCATCCCTAGGCTCCTGGCAATGTGCTCCTTTTCTGCTGTCACTTGCGCCGTCACTTCTGCGCCTGCCACCTCTGAGCCGGAGGTGGTTATGCTGCGCGGGTCCTGCACCTCCTCTGACGCTCGACATTGACTGGCATGGCCCTGGCTCGTCGTCCAAGATGGAGCCAGGGATGGAGATACATTGGGCCCTGGCCTTCCGTAGGAGGATGTCAGGAGGAGGCCCCAGGGCAATCAAAACCAAAAGAAAAGGTGACCTACCTACCGAGGTGGAAAGACAACGATGAAGTTGTGTGGGAACGGCTGGACCTGCCACGTAAGCCCATGAGTTGCCATGCCGTGAGCTCAGAAGCCAAACCACACCACCACCATCTTGGAAGTCAGTCGAACACACCTATTGCTAGGCAACACATAATCACATGAATACATGTATCACTGCACAATACATAAACACACTGTCAAAGATAGACCATTGTCAATAATGAACTTTCAGAGAAAACAGTTCAGAATTCACCAGCACAAATCACCTATCCATTACAGAAACCATTAGGGGAAAAATTGCAACGAATGCAACTACAAGTAGACAGGATACTGTCCATTTACAACTAATTTCAAGGCAAGACCAAGATCAAACAAAGTTGCTTTAACCCTTTGGCCTGCCCTGATCCTAGTGCCAGCAAATCAGGACAAGAAACCTCGATGTAAGAATATAAAAACTCCCAAAAGTACTGTGTGATTACGACATGGACTGACTTTCTAAAGTATTAATACACACGGAGAACTATTTAAGAAAATCAAATCAAAATAAAGAGCTGCTCAGTTTTATTAAAATCCTTCACTGATAATAAAAAGGAGCTTGTGATGATTGCAATCTTAAACCTCGAATAAAGTTTGATTCACTATCCAACAATATTATACCAAACTATTGACTATTATGACAATCAGTATACTAAAGGATTAGGTAATGCCATCCTGCCTTCGAGGTAGTATCTTTCTGTAAGATATCATTTGAAGATTACACTTTTGAAATTATATGAAATATTTCCGTAGTGTAGATAATCTTCACATCATTAGCTAACGGGCTAGCTGTTAAATTAATTAATTCTCTAAAGATTCACAGCCCATAGGCATTCAGAAACCATGTGCTATGAAGATTTCTTGTTGCTAAAGGATACAAGAACACTTAGAAATTCAGTTGTTGGGGAATCATTGATCAAGGCAGAGTTAATCCACGCCCAGTCTAGTTCAGAACTCCAGACCATATATTACAACATGCTGTAACGAGTTGAATAAAGCTTGTAGAACTGGACAGGAGCACAGCATCATTGGTGTTCACAGAAGTGACAGAGCATGGAGTGCCTGTGATGTTCTTCTCATCAGTTCGTAGGCAGTTTTCGAAGGACATGCTGCAGAGGCAGATGACTGTGGGAGCTGCTACAAATAGTTTTACACAGAATCTCTAGGCTGCTTGCTTCAGTAACCATGGAAGTAGAGAGAACTTCTTCCCAGTTTCAGCTCTCTGCTGAGCTGATTCTGCTGTTCCTCTTCATTTGGGGTAGGTTAGCTGTCAGTCTTTTGTACTAAACTTTCTTCACTAACACCATGATCTAAAGTTTAGTTTGACAGAGTAACTGCCTATTGAAGCAGCCAGGAATAGACTGGCTTAACTCAATCAACATGGTCTTTATTTCCAAAGCACTAAGCTGGATTGCTGGAGAGCTATTCGTATTTTATTATCATGTGAGCTGAATCCTTTGTGCAGCGCCTGTCTGTATGGAGTGATACATAATACTTAAAAACTACATTTCATCATTGAAAATCAACTTTGCATTTTATCTGATTTATTCATTTTCAAGTAAGATCAATGTCCTGTTTGCCACTAACTTACATTTAATTTTAAGTGGATTTATGTTGCTTAACTTCTGAACCTGTGAAACAAAAGCAGTTGACTGGCATTTTCTTGCAGTAACCATAGTTACACCAGTTAGCAGTGTTTGATAATTACATTATAATAAATCACTGTACTTTATGGATGGATTGCAAATTGTTCACAGTTATATTTTAAACTGCATGATAACAAGAAATTATCTGTACCTATACTCACATACTTCATGATTTCCTTCAATATTGAGATTAAGGATCAGTTCACACTGGTGCATGTTTCAATTGAGATGTTCAGACAGACTGCTATAAAAGTATCTTGTTTACTTTATGGTGGAATACAAATTCATCAGGAAGATTAATGTCTAGGTTTAATATTTTAAATCTAAATAAATAGTTAGAGAAGTCACATTGGGTACGTGGCTCTGTCTGTAGGATAAACATAAAAAAGGACTTATGAGCAAAAATAACATAAAAAGCTTCAGAAATGTCATTGGGCATAAGGCTTAAACTTTCCTTGCATTACTTTGAGTAAAATGATCAATGGTAGGGAAGGTGACTAGGAAAGTGATGTTGGGAATGTGTATCACGCTAGATGTTTATCCAGGTTATGTTCTGATTCGAATTTCTCCTTCTCTAAACTATATCTTGCATTAGCCCATTAGAATGATTTCTTCAGTGTAATTCTGGAGTTACATGGATGTTTAAATTTACTTTCTGTCATGATTTAATCATTTTTATTTTATTCATCTTCTTAACATTTTGAAAAAAGTTAATAAATACCTGCAATAGAAGCATAAATGTTAATCTTGGCTGCATGTGGATGATGTTGAAAATCAATTAGTTATTGGCTTTAAGTTATAGCTATAGTGAAAATGTTTCAGAAACCGCAGATGACATTTGAAAGAATATAATCTTCTGTCTGAAAGGTTAGCTGTTGATGATTCTGACATTGAGTGGGCCAGATGGTACTGCCAGATGAATGTCACTGTTAGAACCGTTTCTTGTGACCTCAGCCTGTGCTTTTATCCAGCTCTATTTGTTCATGCCTTATATCCTGTACTGGTTCTACCCAGATCAAGGCCAGTGACGTATATAAATCTCCTAATTTGAGCTCTTGTCTTGGAATCAGTAAATGGCTGATCATGGTCTAAGTCAGTTGATGAAATTTGTTCAGCTTTGTTGAGTTCAACAGCATTCCAAAATCTATTTTTCTGTAATTCACAAGTTTGAATATACTTATCTCTTGAAAATGTACTTTACAGTGAACATATGGATACTGTTGCCAACGTAGGTACAAACTACAGCCAAATTTGGTGCCTCTGAACTTAAACGCTGGTGGTCTCTACAGCTACTTAATGCACATTTTTTTGTGCAAAAGAAATATATTTAGCCTGTAGGGGTGGAGAGTAGTGAATTATTTGAAGATGGCTTTGAATATTCCTGGTTGCTTCATTAGCTAAGAATGCAATGGGGCTTTCCTATTCTTTCGTCTCGAACCATGTCACAGTTTTTCAATTAACTGTTGCTATGGGAAACAGAAGAATTTGCCAACACTGAATGCACAAGACTTCAAACTGCTTTTGGGCTCGCTGTGGTGCTTTATGTCTGATAGATGATTGTCAGGATTTCAATGCTGCTGCGTTTGGCTGGTGCTCCAAATTGAGTTTCTGTGTGTGTCATTGGATTTCTGCTTCTTGTGCGCTACTGTCTTCAAAATTTATTAATTCCACAGACACTGGAAGCAGTGTTGCCTATGGACCTAGCCAAGCCATTAGAAAAATTCTTCTGTTTGTGGAACATTATGTTCAGAATGCCTAGGGTTCTGAAAGCAATATTTCTGCATTTCTCAATAGAATTGCTTTTCATAGCAAAACTCTTTGGTGTGGAGCAGAGTTTAATTTATCATTGCGTTAATTTCTAACGAAGACGTAAATTAACCTTCTTTGCACTGCTTACCAGATCGGTTTTTCCAACAATCAGTGACGGTTTCATAATCTTCATTAGACTCTTAATTCCAGATTTATTATTGAATTCAACCTTTTTTCATGTTTATCCAAGATAAAGAACTTGATTTCAGTTGACAGTAGTTGCTGTTAATTGAGTGAAATTCATTATTTTACGTATTCTTTAAAAACTTTGCAACAATCTCATTTTAAAAAGTAAACTAAGTATTAGATTTACATCATGGTTGATAATGAAGCAATATTGTCTCTTCAAAATATGAAGATGATGGAATCTTACACAAGCTCATCACTTTACATCTGAAACTTTATTTTGTCAAGTGATTCTAATGAAAACTACAGCACGACACGGTAATAACAGAGCAACATCATCTCTCTGTTTAGAAATTTGAAATTTCTAATTTCTGTAGCTGAATCTGTAGCTACATGACACAATAGCAATTTGTTTTTACAATTACACCTCTGTCATGACTCTTGCTAGTAGCTTTTAGCACTCACTTAACACAGGCTTTGAACTTTTAAATGATCTCCTGCCATATGGCTCATTGACACATTAATGCTCATTGATTGAAAGCTGTTCAAATTGTCTAAACAGTAATGACAAACTTTGGAATAGGTCACCTATCTGTCCTCCGGAAATGATCTGTGAGAGAATGAACCCAAAAATGGAGAGAACAGTTGAAGTTATGTGAAATAATCTTATTTTATTAAATATTAGAATGGTTATGCAAAATTAACAAAAAGTCAAATTTCCATTGTAAAATTCAATGCTAGTACCTCTCCACTGACCAACCCATGGATCATGAGATAACCTGAGGATTAGTATTTTTCTAGGTCAGAAAATGAGACTGGTCAATGGCACCCTTGACTTTGCTCCACCATGTGACAGAGAACATCGCATACTATCTCATTTAAATCTCTAACTGGTACTTTAGTAAAAGCATCAGAATTCTGCCTGGAGGGAGCTTTCCATATGTTACTAAGTCCTTACACCACAAAATCACTGAGTATTAAAAAAGTTTGCAGAAAATGATGCTATCAAACACTAAGAGTAGGTTTGTGCCTGATTTATGAAACAGCATTAAAACTCATTGGACAACTTTTTTGTATTCACTCACGGGATGTGGGCATCACTGGCTGGCCCAGCACTTATTGCCTATCCCCTTTGCCCTTGAGAAGGTGGTCATGAGCTGACTTCTTGAACCACTGCAGTCCATGGGCAGAAGGTAGACCCACAATGCCCTTAGGGAGAGAATTCCAGGGTTTTGACCCAGGACACTGAAGGAATTGCAATACATTTCCAGGTCAGGATGGTGAATGGCTTGGAGGGGAACTTGCAGGTGGTGGTGTTCCCATGTACCTGCTGTCCTTGTCCTTCCAAATGGAAGTGGTTGTGGGTTTGGAAGGAGCTGTCTAAGAATCCTTGGCAAATTTCTGCAGTGCATCTTGGAGATAGTACACACTGCTGTTAATGAATATTAAATAGAACTACAGATACAGTGCAGAATGTTTTGAATGTGGTGGAGCATTTGTATCCATAGCTTCACTTGGTAACAGTAATAGACATTTTGATTTTCAGCATAGTTTGGTAGATCATGTCATAGAGGTATACAGCATGGAAACAGATCTTTCAATCCAACTCATTCATGTTGACCAGACATCCCAAATAAATCTAGTTCCATCTGCCAGCATTTAGGCATATCCCTCTAAATCCTTCCTATTACAATGAAGCAGAAATAAAAAAGAACAAAAAGAGATTTGAGAAAATCACTATGCAGAGAATTGTTTCTGCCAAGTATTTTTGGTTAAGTATAGTCACTTTTAAATTGATATTAATTCATTCTCACTGATCATTCATTTCTGTTCATGAGGGCTTTTTCAGATGGAAATTTTCCAGTGTTTTCTTATGGCCAAGGATTATCTACAACTCTCCACTTAGAGGAGAACTCCATGAAAGAATGCAGATGTACGATTAAACCGAAAATGTCTTGTGTTATACATTTTTCACATTTTTATGTTTCACATGTTTGCAGTTTTATTAGCTCCCTCTATTATTCCCCACGTTTCTATCTCCTTTAGTTCCAGTAGGTGGACTATGCAGACTTGCATTGAGAGTGGGAGGATCATGTATCTGATCATCCTTCTGTTCAGAGCTAATTCATTTCAGACATGGGCAGTAACCCTATAATTTGTCTCAGCACCCTCAGGCCAACAAGTATTAACCAGAATCCAATGAGCTTCACTGAAAAGTGCCTTGATGCTAGTTGCTTTTTACTATTCATTTACGAGATGAGGGCGTCGCTGGCCAGGCAGCATTTATTGCCCATCCCTGATTGCCCAGAGGGCAGTTAAGAGTCAACCACATTGCTGTGTGTCTGGAGTCACATGTAGGCCAGACCAGGTAAGGTAGGCAATTTCCTTCCCTGAAGGACATTAGTGAACCAGATGGGTTTTTCCTGACAGTCGACAATATCGACATTAGACTCTTAGTTCCAGATATTTGTTGAATTCAAATTCCACCATCTGCCATGGTGGGATTCAAACTTCTCCCCAGAACATTATCTGGATCTCTGGATTAACAATCCAGCAATAATACCACTAGGCCATCACCTTCCCTGTTGGTTGAGGACAGTGACTGTCGGCTAAATGAGTATTAGTTCAGCTGATGTGGTGTATAGGATATGGTTTTCTAAACCAATATTCATATTTT